CTCCGTGCAATTATGGCTAATAATACAGCTGGCGGCTGGGATTTGACTAAAGCTGACAGTACAACGCCCAAGCCCATAGCCACCTGCCACAGGTACACGGGAAGAAAATATGGGTCACTAAAGTAAATAGATCAGAATTGCATTTGCATATCTTGTGAGAATTTTATGGGAAAACAGTAAACCAATTTTAATAATAAATATATCTGTTGCTCGTAAACTTATAAAATAATAATATTTATAAAAGATAATTCTTAAAAATATTATTGGTATAACAAATTTACAATTTTTTTAATATAAATATAAATTTGGTTAAACTTGAAATGTATTTTGAGCATATAAAAAAAAGCTAAAAGTAATTTTAAAATATATTTAAAGCTATTGACATTAAATTGATAACTTAAAATATAGGTACTTTTTGAAAGATAGATAGGTAGAAACATCATTTAGATACAGTTTTCATATACTTGTTTTCATATATTGTCGTATGAACTAGAAATTTAAAGGCGATTTATTTCATGAGAGAACTGTATACTTTCTAATATACTCTTAGAATCTTTAGGCACTGTTTTCATATTATAATTCATGGCTTGTGTCGTATGTAATAAAAAATGGATGTGCTGTCTGAAATCGTCATTTTTCTAAGAGAAAACCCATCTAGTTCGGTTGATAAAATATAAATAAATTTGTTCCTGTGCGGCAGACAACTGCAGCGCATTAATCTTGGCCAGACTCGACTCGATTGGCTGAGATCTGGAGCTGGGGCTCGGGGCTGGGAGCTCTGAGCTCCAAGCTGAAACTGAAGCCTCCAATAGCAAACGAAATGGAAATGCATTCCGCCTCAGCCAGCCCAAAAGAGCCGCCGGCGTTTGCTGTGCACGACTTTTCAGCTTTTCAGCTTTTCAGCCATTGCCAATCGAACGATCGATTTGGCTGCGGATCACCATCGATCGATCGATCGATCGATCGCCATTCGTTTGTTATTTATTTATTTGTTTATTGTGGCTCTACAGGGTGTTATTTATGGTTCTGTTTGTTTTGCCTTCTTGTCAGATTAGTGTCCAGCTTTACATCCGCCATGCTCTGTGGCCGAATCCCGGGCCTGACTCCCGGCCAGCGGAACATGTGCCGCGAGATGCCCGATGCCCTGATCGCCCTGGGCGAGGGCCACCAACTGGGCGCCCAGGAGTGCCAGCACCAGTTCCGGGGCCACCGCTGGAACTGCTCGGAGGTGTGGCAGCGCAACGTCTTCGCCCATGTCATACCCACAGGTGAGTGCCGGTGCCCCATCCCAATCCCAATCCCATTTCCAATCCCAGTCCCAGTCCCATCACGAAACAAACGCCCTCGCAGGGAGCTAAATAAGATAATTTACATTTTATTGGTGATCTACGATTTTATGTGATAATTGGGATGAGTCACATGATCAAGATCTCTAGAGATCCCAGACATAATAAAAATGGCTTTCCCTAATTTTAAGACATTTTGCTATAAAACTTAGAAAGGTAATTAACTAGGTGAGCCCCGAAAACTACTTTAAGCCAATAAAAAAAAGAGTTCAGGGTGATAATTTCTTTAACCCTGTGAAAACGGTTTATATCATGAGAAGTCAGCGTTTTGGATTAACATCTTATTTATTCAAACGACTCATATGATTTTTATTCATCCCAAAAAAGTTAATTACTACTTTTGCAATAAAAATCCATATTTGCAAAGTTTTATTTTATATAAAATAAATTTCTAGCAATTAAATATCACAATACTAATAGATATTTAGCTTAGACTTGATTTTGTTATATACAAAAATGAAATGTTTTAAACCTTTTTTAATTATGACACAACTTTTAAGTAATATTGTGACTAAAAATATGCTTATTACGAAATATCTTAAGAAATGTTAGATATAAAAATTCAACTTTATTAATTTTTCTGAAAATACCTTGACAACCGGTTAATTTGAAAGACCAAAAATGCCAATTATTAATAAAATGAATTTCCCCTATTATTTAATGTAAATGTCTAATGTATATTTCCTCTTTAATTTAAGTTCGCCAGTGAATTTTACATTATTGGCGAACATTTTATAATAATAATAATACTTCCTCCCCAGCTTCGCGTGAGGCAGCCTACACCTATGCGATAGCCAGTGCCGGAGCGGCCTATGCGGTGACCGCCGCATGTGCCCGCGGCAACATCTCCACCTGCGGCTGCGACGTGCGGCACAAGGCCACGCCCACTGCCGGAGGAACGCCCGAGGAGCCCTGGAAGTGGGGCGGCTGTTCGGCGGACGTGGACTTCGGGATGCGGTACGCGCGCAGGTTCATGGATGCCCGCGAACTGGAGCGAGATGCCCGCACCCTGATGAATCTCCACAATAATCGGGCAGGGAGAACGGTGCGTATGATCAACACTTTCTTAATATTTATATATATTACTATTAATCTTTTAAAATCCTTTAGCTGGTCAAGAAGATGCTACGCACGGACTGCAAGTGCCATGGCGTAAGTGGTTCCTGCGTGATGAAGACCTGCTGGAAGAGCCTGCCGCCTTTTCGCCTGATCGGCGATAAGCTCATGCAGAAGTATCAAAAAGCCAAAACTGTTCAAGCCGTCAAAGGCAAACGTGGACTGAGATTAGTATTAAGCAGGTGAGATATTAAAATAAATTAAAAGAAATATTGAAATGGAATATATAAATCTGGAGTCCAGATAAACAGCCACGTGAGTATCAAGAGAGGAAGTCACAATGTCTATATGACACCAACTTAAATTTCTACTAAATGGATTGGTTTTATACAGTCATGAGAACCTATACCATATATGTAAAACTCTTTAAGCGGCTTAGCGTACAGAAGTCTTTTGAGATACTCTTATTATTTTCTAACTGAAGAGATAAGGGTCACTTGAGAAGCGCTAATATATTTTAGAAAATCATTTTAAAGTTATACAAATTTAATACTACGAAATTTTATTAGTCTTAGTCAAGTGGACTTCGCTATCAAATTTATTGGAAAAAAGTAACTAAGATGGCTACCCCCTTTCATAGAACAAGTATAACAACTTAAAACGAAACAGTTTTTCTTCCTTACATCTACGATTCCCATAAAATCCTAAATAAAATTGATCTAATGGTTGTATATAAATATAGTATAAATATACTATTTTTTTCTAGTTTTCTTTTACTTATTTAAATAATTTCATTCAGTTTGTGGAAATAAAAATACGAGTGTAAAAGGGTTTAATAATCTGTAGCTATGCATGGCATAAGAAATGCTCATATGGCATACCCACTTAACCCCATCTCATCATCATGTTATTCCAGAAAGAAGCATGCCGGCACCGCTCGTGCTCAGAAACCGGTCCTCGATTGGCCGAAGCGAATGGAGCTGATCTACCTGGAGGCGTCGCCCAACTACTGCGAGCGGAGTCTGCAGACGGGCAGCCAGGGCACCGCCGGCCGAGTCTGCCAGCGGACCGGCCACGGCCCCCAGAGCTGCGACCTGCTCTGCTGTGGGCGGGGCCACAACACCCAGCACATCCGGCGGACGAAGCAGTGCCGCTGCCAGTTCCGCTGGTGCTGCGAGGTCAGGTGCGACGAGTGCGACGAGAGCTACGAGGAGTTCACCTGTAAATAGACGGAGGAGAATCAAGAGGGGGAGGAGCAGGAGCAGGACCAGAACGCAGCTAGTACTAGGGCTATGTCATAGAAAATGCGTTAATTAAGTATTATGAGAAATGTATTACACCCACAGACACGCACCACGCCACCATACAAACACATTCCAGAATAAATACAACAAGTTAACATTCACAAAGAGAGATTCATTTATTAAATTGGGGGTTAAAATGCGGATATGAGCGTTATTAGAAGGCTTTTAGGTAAAGCAATTCGTCAACTGGGAGACATTGACAAGAGATTGACTGTCTTACACACAAAAAATGTTGACCATCAATTTGTTGGTGTAAAAGTAATAACATTTGGGAGTTATCAGCACTTTTAGTATTTTCACCATTTTTACCAAACTATTTACGGTTTCAAAATATTTTACAGCCTACAAAATAGGAATCTCATCAATTTGATCTTAGGAGCTGCCTTAACATTATAATCGATACCAGTTAAATTGTTATTTTCATGAATATCAATGTAGTCCTTTGAACTATTGGTATCAACTCTCTGCTACTTAAACTTTTGATATTTATTTTCGATTGTTTTAATAATTGTAGTATTTCTTAATGTCAAAATGACATAAGAGCTTTTTTCTTTTCAATTCGGGTTCGAAATCTTTATCAACAAACAATTCCAAATTATGTACTAAGCATAACGTTTTCTTTACTTTCAAAAATACCCTACCAAAGCTCTTATACAGCATCACAAAACTGAAAGGTAAAAACCTATTATTACAAATGCTAGCCTTATCTTTACCAACCATCCCCAATACTTTGATACGCCAAGCTTATTTTTAAGAAGATAGTTATAGGTAGTTATAAAAATGCTTAGCATTGGTTTAAATGAAACGAAGCACTTCTTAAGAAAATATTTTTTTTTACTTTTTAGGCAAGACTTTTGTAAATAAAATGTATAATAAAATGGAATACCTAGTTACCTCTTTTAAGAATAATATTATATTACAATATTTTGTTTTCATCGCAATAGTTTGTCACTATTTCATAAATATGTAGCCCACTTTTGAGGGCGGTTCGAATAGTTGGCGCTCAGCATTGCCAGCAGGAAATGTGGAACGGTACGTAAGACCCACTTTCGGCTGGCGTAACGCAATGCGCTGGCTTCATATTTTGGTATTGGAATTCCGGAACCCATTGCCTGGCAGCTCGCGCCGCCTCGAAATGCCAGCACTCGCCGAACTGCGCGAGCGCCAAAAGGAAAATTCATTGATTGCAATCGCACTCGCTCTCCCGCCAGCTCTCTCACTATGCCAAGAGCTGGTCGGAAAAGTCGGAAAACTCACCACTTGCCAGCGGAATCGGCGACTATATTAGCGACTGGCTCGCACGAGCGGCGCTCAGTTCTTTGAGGGTAGTTAGTTGGACACGGCGTTGCCGAAAACGGGCCACCTCAGCTGCCGCACAATACATTTTTGGGTTAGGAACACACACACTGACACGAATACCCACACACTCTCGCATGCCCACACACACACGAACACACGCTCAGTATATGTATCTGGCTGAGAAATGTATAAGGCCAAGAAAAAAGCAACTTAATTGCATTCGCAGCGGAAAAAAGTGAAAAAACAGCGCGAGAAAATTCCATTGACTGGCAAAAAGTGCTTCAATTAAATATATAAAATAACCATTAATGTGTGTGTATCGCTGTGAATGTGTGTGTGCGTGTGCTAGTGCGAGTGAGTGAGTGTGCGTGAGTGGCAGCAATAGCGCTAGAGGCTGCTCCCTGGATACAGAAAAGTGATTTCCTGCAAAAAAAAGTGCAAAAAGGCGAGCTGAAAGTGAGGCAAAAAGCCGCCTACAGCGCCCAAAATCGTGTGACAAACTCATGAAACCATTAAAGATACACCCTCCATATATATGTATAAGTTTTTACTTGTGTGTGTGTGTGTGTATAAGACAAGCACACACACACTGTCAATCAAAAGGAGTAATCTGGCCCACTAAACGCTGCCTATCGATTGGGGCAAAAAGCAGAAAAATTATTATAAATTGCTTCAACCTACATATAAGCCATGCGAGTTATACACACACACACACACACTCCATCGCACACACTTACGCCTACAGAGAGACATTAAGTTTGAAAAGCCATAAGCTGTATAACAGAGCCTAGAGTGGCAGAAGGTGGAGCGGGGGCTCGCCAGCATAATGTTGGGCCACCCTAAACACCCACTCAGCTCCCAGCCCCAACCCCCTTGCGTTACGTCGAGCCTTACGTTGTTCGTAAGCGTAACTCGTGCGTAGAGCACTCTCCACTCCATTTTTACGGAGCACTCTTCAACTCCGTATCTCTCTGTATCGCTGTGTGTGTGTGTGTGAGTGGGTGCCTCGAATGTGTGTCATTGGGAGCGAGTGTAAAAAATATCCTCGTTAAGCACGAAGCCACCAAAACCACTTCAAAAAAATATAGAAACACAAAGCATAAAACAGAAAACAGAAACACACAGAAAAACCTCAAAGTGAATGAAGACTTTAATTAGTTTAGCTAGAAACTCACGCGGTTTAATTATCCTTCCAACACAGCCATGTACATAAAACCAAAAGCCGTTTAAATCATAAACACAAAATGCAATTAGCCAGCGAGCGCACGCCACGAGAGTCAACAAACTAACTAAGCCAGTGTCATCGAGTGAACTAAATTAGTGCAAGCAGCTAGCCGACCGGAACCGGAAATGCCCATTGAGCCGCCCGACAACGAACACATAAACAAACACAAGCGCCATTGCATTGCCAGCGGCCATAAAGACGAGCAACAAATCGCCCACACACACATGTAGTTGCAGCGCGCGTGTGTGTCAGTGTGTGCGGGCTCTGAAAACCGGAAGCGGAAGTCGAGGAGCAGCCGGATTAGAAGGATCAGAAAGAGGAGCTGGAGGAGCAGGAGGCGCAGCTAGATTGGCCAGTTTTTCATTCGCCCGCAGTTCGTTAAGGAAAATCATTCAAAATTCATCGCCTAAGCAAAGCGGGTGAGCTATTTAACCATATTACGTATACGTAACGACACCCATACTCACACTCACACACACCAACATAACCACCCGGAGACACACAGAAAGAACTTCAATTTGTGATGTGAACCGTAAGCGATATTGATTTCTGATTTGTGTGCGTTTGCCTTGTGTAACAGGAGCTCCCATAAGTTAACCGTTATCAGTTATGAGTAATCTGTTTTCATGCCTGCCTTTGTTTCTCTCTTTATAACTCCCTATATCTCCTGTTCGTATCTGTTGTGATTTATTTTATTCTACTAAAAAAAGAGAGCGAATCCAATTCCCGATTGCCTAGATTTAGTTGGAGTACTAGTACTAGTAGCCGAGTAACTTAGTTTAGCGAGTAACTTTAGTCTTCTTTCCATGCATTACCCATACGCCCTGTTCGATCAATCAATCATTCAGAGATTGGCAAGCAATTTGGAAACTTATAATTAGATCTGTGTGGATGGTTCTTTGTGGGGCAGGCTCAACGCATTCGAATGCTCGCATGATTTGCCACTTTTTTTCGAGTTTCTCCTTTTTTTATGGGGGTTGCGTGTCAATGCTGCGGTGTTTGCCTTTATTATTTATTTCTTTCGGTTGTTATTTGAGTTGCCTGCTCTAATTTTAGATCAGTCGAATAACTTTTATTGATTTCAAATTTTAACCTTATTTTACATGTGCCCCTGAGTGTGTGTGTGTGTGTGTGTAAAGAAAACGCCGCCAATCCATACATTGGGGCAGTGGTAACAACAAAATACGGCAAAATATTTTACGATGACGCTATTGTTGTGAGCGGGGAGCGGAGAAAGCGACGGTACGGTAGATGGTAGAGGATACGCATTTGCGCACTACCCACAGTGTGGTGAGTTCTCTCTCCATTCTCCGGCTTTCTCCGGGGACGCCTCTCTATTTCCTCTATTTTTTCGGGGCTATTCAACATGTTTGTTTTGGGGTGGAGGCCCCCGGAGCAGATAGCCTGATAAGATGGCCTCCGGCTGTCCGAAGTCCGAAGTACGGACAACAATCGTACGGGGTTCCAGTTTTAGCTCCAGGTCCCTTAAGTATGCAGCTCAAAGTGCAATCTGTCTCCCTCTCAGCATATATACATATACACTGGTCTATATATAGGGATATGTTTGCCCAGCAAAGTGCAGTGCCTGGGGCTCCCTAATGGCATGGCGATGTAATCGAATCTGGGCCTGATATTTTATGGCCTGTCTGCCATATCCTGACCCCATCTGCTGGCGCTTCCTCCATCTTTTTATGTCGCCATTCTCTGGCACACAGAGGCACTGGTTCAGGCTCCGGCTCGGTCGGAGACTTCCTTCTCATGGCAGTGTGAATGGGCTTCCGGCTTGCTGATTCGTTTAGCTTTCATTTGAGCCGCTGCAGCTGCTGCCGTTGATATCCGCACTCTTGGCCCATTCAAAGCAGCCTAGGCAAAAAAATCAGCATTCGCCATGTCGCATTGTTTATGCGGGCGGCTTAATTGCAATTTGCTATTCAGGGCATTCACGAAAATATCTAAAATCTCTAAAGCCTATAAAATTAAAGACTTTAGGCAAAACTGATGATATAAATGTTAAAAAGATATTTTTGGAATTTCTTTAAGTAGATTTATTGGCACAATGCAAGCTATATAAAATAAAATATATCAAATCAATTCAAAATCAAATATTTGTTTGAAATCTACATTTAGAAAGTTTTTAAGCATTTCTTAAATTCAAAGTGTATTCTGAATACATGACTTTACATAATATTTAGATTCAAGATAAGCTTTGTTTACCGTCTGAAACTTAAGCTTTTTTTTTTAAAGAACAAATGACAATTCTCTAAAAGTTTTTGGTATACTATACAAATTGTTTTATACAATAAAATTGTAGATACATATTTTATGTTAAATCAAAATTAAAACAAATACAAAAACTTTAAAAAGAATAAGTGCCAAAGTTTCAAAGGCATGTTTCAGTTTTAAAATACCTTTAACAGAGTAGTATTCAAGCCCAGGCCAAAATCAATACTAGATGCTCCGCATAAACTCCGCTCGACAGCTTCTGTGGGAGACTTCCTTTTTAGCCAAGAAGCAACCGCTCAAGTGGCAATTTGCATGCGATTTGTTGCCGTCTCCATAGAAAACACGCATTTGCATAGAGCGGCCATAATGCAATGCTCGGCGAGATGTGTTCGCCCCACCGCAGCCATCCCCCTTACTTTTGAGTCCTTTTCAGACTGTTTATGCTATTTGTTTATGCGCTTATGGCCCGGTAGTGAGACAGCTCCTGGCTGAGATTTAGGTAAAAAGGTTAAGGATATGCAAGTTGAGCTAGGGCCAATTTAAATGCAAAGAAGCCTTGGCTTTCAGTGGGCAGCGGGGCGTATGCGTAATGTAATATACTGTTTTATCACGAGAAAGCGCATTGTACTATTTGTGTGTATGTTTTTCGTTCTCTTCTCACTTCTTCCACTTGCAGATGCCGCACAAGAGAGAGAGAAAGAGAGAGAGAGAGAGTCGCGAATAGATCAATCAATTAATCAATCAAAACCGAGCATATCAACCGAGAGGCCAATACAATAAACCAACCAGAGAACCGAAATCAAAGTTCAACGTTGCATTTAGCGTTTGCCCAGTTCAACTTCCTGTTCCTGTTCCAGTTGCAGTTCCATTTGGCACTTGATTGCATGCCGCGGATGAGCCGCGGATTATGTCACGTGACGATTATAATCCAGTAAATAGCTCTGGTGTGCGCAGTCCGGGTCGCGTGCGGCGTCTCCAGGAATTGCCGACGGTCGATCGATCCCCATCCCGGGACTACGGCGCTCCACGCGGAAGTCCTTTAGGTGAATGATAGCTCCAATCCATAAACAACAACCAAAACTAAGAACCGATACCGAACCGAATCTCTGGACATAGTCCTTGCAATCTGTGCACAAACGTAGTCCAGCACTTTGGCCAGTATCTTCTTTGTGCCCGAGAGCCCGGCGAACATTTGCTGATTATTTCTCCACCCATTACGATCAATTGGCCATGCTTAAACCGATCTAGAAAATGTTATTCCAAATTCCCCCAAAATTATGCAAAATTAACGCTTCTGTTTCAAGATTCATGTATTACGCTCGCTAGCTCTCTTCTTGTATAACCGCCATATATACATAGATATAACTATTTTCATTTCGTACTATTTGTAGTCGACTCAACTAATGCAATTTCTAACTAAACTCTATTATTTCTGTCTAACATCACACGCATGCGCATGGTACATAAATTTGATTTGATTTCATTTCATTTCACTTGATTCGATTTTCATTTATTTCGTATTTCGTTTCGCTTCACTCATCCTGCGAATCTCGAACCGATTTTCATTTCAATTAACCCACACAAACGGCACTCAAACACATGCAAATTGAATTCCATGCGGGGGGATTGGTTGCGAATTTTCCGCCACGCAGTTGCAGCTGCCGGGAAATTGCATTAGAACCGGGCGAGCCAAGAAAAACAGGACTGGGAAATGGCCCACAGCTGAGCCATTGACGCAAAAAAAAAGAAGTAGAGAGGAAAACCACTGCGGAAAAGAGCACCTTGAAACCATCACTATCACTGGAAACTTTGCCCGGAGCCGCGCGTTTGATATCAAAGCCTCAAACTGGATTACAATTATGGTTAGCTAAACTGTTTTGCACTTGAACGGGGTCAGCACTTGATTACGCCAGCTAATTAGCATTTGGCCGCCATTGGGGGCCTCTTAAATAAACCATTTAATATGGGCTGAGCACTGAGCACTGAACACTGAACAGCAAACAGCAAACACTGGAAACTGACGAACAAGGACGTTGGTGGAACCGCAAATTTAGTTTCGTGCTCTCGACGTGCAAAATGATTTCGTGCCGGGGAAAACTTAGTTTATAGCCCTCGAAGGTGGGCTGAAATATGAGAAATAAGCCAGAAGTCAGGACACACAATGTAGCGGGTTTACGAGCTGTGGGTCGGGAATTGTGGTAGTAGAAAGCAAAGCCAGAACACGACAAACACTTTTCCCAGCCTTCGTTTGTTGACTTTTCCTTTATTTTCCGTTTGCATTTCCTTTTTTTACTCCTGAGTTACCTGCGTTCCTTGCCACTAACCTAACCTAACCGAAAAAATAAGAAAAACCCGAAGAAGAAAATGAGGCAGAGACTCCACTGCACTAGTTGCCACCTCTAGAAAAAAAAAGAAAAACACTCTGTATACTTTTTTTTTTGGTTGCGTTCTTTTTGTTCTGGTGGCCGGATGAGGAGCCGAAACGAAAAACACGAAACAACCACCTGAACCACCACCAGAGATAAAACCACCACCCGTCCGTTCTGTCATCCTCATTTGGTCATCCTCATGAATTCTGTGTGTGTGTGACTTTCAGCAATGGGCAGTCCATACTACCGCGACATGGATGAGCCAACCAGTCCGGCCGGAGCGGGTCACCATCGCAGCCGGAGCGCCAGCAGACCACCGATGGCCCATGCCATGGACTATCCAAGTAATGACCGTCTGAGCACCCTGAAATATGATATATTATCAAAGTCAATCTGAGTCGGTTTTTGGAATTAATATAATGCCAAATATTATAAATATAATATATTATATAAATCTGTTATACAATTATATCTACAGCCAACATCTATAAAGTTCCGTAAAGTTAAAGTTAAAAGAAAATGTATAATACAAACACTTAAAAAATATATACCGCTCAAAAGGTATCAGTTACTGACTAAGGATTATTATGGATACTATCTATATCATGGTCCATCATCCTTTTTTTTCAACATGAAATAAGTTTGAAAATAATTTTGAAATGAACATACTATTATATTATATATATTATATCATATTAAAAAATTCTATAAGTCTAAATGTGTTTCTAATAAAACGTAAAGTGAATATCAATGTCAATCTATCTTACTTTCTAAACACGAAAATGTGTTACAATTTCTTGGAAATCATTAAATGTTAATGTTATTTAATGGATTCAAATTGACTTCGAAATATATAACCTAGGTCTTAGATCTGAACTCGCTCTGTGAAACTCTAAGTTAGATTCGATAAACTAATCCCTAATTTGGAATACCCCCCTTAGGAACCCGCTACCAATCGCTGGATCGCGGCGGACTCGTCGATCCCCACGATCGCGAGTTCATACCCATTCGGGAGCCTCGCGATCGTTCCCGGGACAGGTCCCTCGAGCGGGGACTGTACCTAGAGGACGAACTATATGGCAGATCGGCCAGGCAGAGTCCCAGTGCCATGGGTGGATATAATACGGGCATGGGCCCCACATCGGATCGAGCTTATCTGGGCGACCTGCAGCACCAGAACACCGACCTGCAGCGGGAGCTGGGCAACCTGAAAAGGGAACTGGAGCTGACCAACCAAAAGCTGGGCAGCTCGATGCACAGCATCAAGACCTTCTGGTCGCCGGAGCTCAAGAAGGAGCGGGCCCTGCGCAAGGAGGAGAGTGCCAAGTACAGTCTGATCAATGATCAGTTGAAGCTACTCAGCACGGAGAATCAGGTGAGTGGATAAAGTGGTATTTGTCCAAATTTTATGGGGTGTATATACATTGATGTTTGTAACTTTATGATTTTGCCAATGCTATTTGTTCTTGTTCAAAGGAGAAGGTCATAAAAACCAACTATCCAAGTCCCATAATCCTAAAGCGATATGTGTTATTAGATTTTCGATTGTATAGGAAATCCTCTTTCTTATGTACTGATACTTTGATACTTTTCTTATTAAAACACAATTCATTTAAATTAAGATTGTATGTAACACCTTTTTAACAAGTTATGGATCGCTGAATAACCTAAGCTTCAAAAATTATTTTACCTATAATCCGAAGCTTATTTACTATAAAGTACTTACCCAAGAGAACCCAAAGAGCCATAATAACATATTTGGAGAATTTAATACAGTTAAAGGTCTTTAAAAACTTTCATAAATATCATGATATAGAAAACTATTGTAGATTCTATTGAATTCCAATTGTTAAAGCTAGAAATATTGAACAGACTTCTATGGAACTAAATTTGGGATATCTTCTGTTCTACTTCCAATACTACATTACAAATAAATCCTCCTCAGAAACAAGCCATGTTGGTGCGCCAGCTGGAGGAGGAGCTGCGCCTGCGGATGCGGCAGCCCAACTTGGAGATGCAGCAGCAGATGGAGGCGATCTACGCGGAGAACGACCACTTGCAGCGGGAGATCAGCATCCTGCGCGAGACGATCAAGGATCTCGAGTGCCGGGTGGAGACCCAGAAGCAAACGCTGATTGCCCGCGACGAGAGCATCAAGAAGCTGCTGGAAATGCTGCAGGCCAAGGGAATGGGTGAGTTTTTACTACAGTAAAGGATAAACAGATCCACTAACTGAGATACTTTCCTCCATTTACAGGCAAAGAGGAGGAGCGCCAGATGTTCCAGCAGATGCAGGCCATGGCTCAGAAACAGGTAAGTCCCCCGATCAGATGCTTTGGAGCCCCTTGCCACTCCTCCTCCCCGGAAAAGGGACGAGGTCTAGGTCGACTATACCCAATCTCGCTCCCCAATCTCCGCCATCTCTCTGTCTACCTTCGTATATCTCTGTCAATCTCTATCTCTCTAATTTTCTTTCGTTCGGCAAACAATGCTCTAGAGAATGATTTCGTACACGGGCAGCGGGGGGAGAGAGGGCGGACTTTCTCCCTTTCTCCCCGCCTGCCCAATTTCTCTGAACACGAAAAGAACACTTTTTATGCATCTTGAGTTTAAAAAACATTTGATGCAACATCAGAACTTTAACAACTTTTATTTTAGCCCCAATACACACACGCATACACTAAGCCTTATATACTCTATATACCTTACCTACACACACACACACTTAACTTATATATACATACCGCTTTATAACTGTTACAAACTAGTGAAAAAATCCTAAAGTAGAGCCTAGAAAATGTTCGCTTTTATGCCAACTGAAGCTTGAGTTGAGTTCGTAGTGTTTTCACACAGTTTTCCACTGTTGATTTTTCATTTCCCACATTGTCACACACACACACACACGTACACACAGCACAATGACACGTTTCATTCAGTTTGCTACATGTTTTGCATATTTTGCACTGTTTTGTTCTTGTTGCCGTTGTCGCTTAATTAATTTGCAACTTTGTGCCGACGAGAATGAGGACAGTGGAGGCAGTCAGCAGTCAGCAGTCAGCAGTCTACAGTCAACATCAATGAACGTCGTTCAAATTAACATTAAGTGCAGTGCACTACCCATACATGTACATGCATCTTTGCAAAACACCCACACACTCACAGTCACGCACACTCAGACGGCAGCTTAGTCATTTCATTGTTCGCCGCCCAATAAAATCTCGATTTTGTTGCACACTTTTCGGCGCCACAATGGATGCATCTTCGCGTGGCCCATTTATGTATGCAGCATTTGCCAGTAATGCATTGCCAGTGCCGAGGAAAAGTGCATTTTCCCGCACCATTTCCATTGTTGCATTCCATTATTTATCGAGGGTAGTGCCAGACCCTCCATCCCCCCCCCTGGGAAATCAATCTGAAATAAGTCTGGAGTTGCGGCAAATGCAGCTTAACTTTTTACCCACCGACCTCCCCAAGGACATGGCAAACTACCAACTGCTTATTACTGATCCAAAGTTCTGTATCCCCCCCCTGTAATTACATGTTTGCCCCGAGCTAAACTCCCACACAACCACACACGGCGTATGCGTAATATTAAGCGCAAACAGAAACAAAAGGCAGCCAGCCAAGCTGGGGAAAGGCGGGAAAGCGGGAGGAAAATGGGGAAAGGCATTTCCAGAGCATGGTCAGACAGTTGGGCACATTCCCAGTGGGCAGCATAAATAACCTTGATACAGAAACAAAATCTATTTAAGGACAACAGACGCTGGAGAGCAGAGAAAAGGCCAAAGGGAATACACAGTTGCCAGTACAAATGGGAAAATATTCTTATTATCCGATTGGCATTTAAGTTTCTTCGATGCTGACAGCTCAACTTTCTTTAAACCCTGCCTTTTGTGCATCTATCAATGGTAATTCATCTGGCTGAAAAGTCAAAGAAGTCCAGTTTTATGCGCTTTGTGCATCAATGAATGGCCATAAAAATGACAGATATTAGCCCAGAATGGCCAGCATCCTTGACTCAATTTTGAACTTCATATTTTATCTGTGCACTGCATTGAGTCCCCGTGGCGTTAAAACCATTTGCATAAGCTCAACATCCTTTTTTCGAGGCACCATTTCTATGGCATTCCCCCAGCACAATAAGTATTCAAATGGCGTTTTTTGGTGCCCCTTTTTTTTGGCTCACTGCCCACTGGCATTTTTCGGGAATCGCATTTCATTTCTGCGTAATGCTTTGTACATTTTTTCACCAGGGGGTCTATGGCTTATATTATATTATACCAATTGAGGGGGGGAAGGACAACAAATGCCTTGACCGGCGATTGGCGAGGCTCGAAATTAATTTGTCACTGATAAAGCAAACAAATGGTGGGAGGAAATGCGGCATAGTTACACGGCCCGGACAGCAGTAATTAAAAATCAGCCCACAAAACCGGGCTAAGAGAGGGGGGGGGGGGACAGCCCGCCCACATGCCCATACAAAAGAAAACAAATTTCGCCTCGCTCTTCGGCTTTTTTCCCTATTTTTTTTTTAACAGGGCGAGCAATTAAAAGTTGTTGCGTATACGCCGCGTTAACAGGGCCGGAAAAGAGAGCAATCGGCTGGCGCAGTTCTTTCGAGGTCACTGCGTTTTACATTTCCTATTTTCGGTGCAGATTCTATTTATTGCGAACTGCAGTTGCAAGCCCCCATTCGAAAAAAAACTTTCAATAATTCATCTTGTTTAGCAAGTTGGCCCAAGTTGAGCCGCATTGAATCGACTTTTCCCGACTTTTGGCACTCTTATGTAAGGCCAGAGGCCCTGGGCACGCATGTATATGCACAGATATGTATCTCGGCTGGAATATAGGAATACATATAGGCGAATATACTTTTTACGAGAGTCCTCTTGGTTTTATTGTCTACTTCTTATGGCCATTTAACCGACGCCACTTTGTCTGCTTGATGCTCAAACTTTTGGCTTACATTTTGCCCAAAAACCCCCCCCTCCAAACCAGGCACTCTTGCACGCTTACATATAATATGTACACAAATCTAACAAACTTATGCGATACTCAACCTTCTCACTTCTGGTGACCCCAACAACGAAACAACAAAAACAACGAAACCAACAACTAAACAACCAAAACAACAACAACGAGACAGCTTGATTTGGAGCGTGAAATCAAGAAATACGCTCAGGAGGAGCAAGGGGTTAGGGTGAGTGTATGTTTGCTACTCGTAGAACAAAAAAAAAATAAGAAAAAAAAAACTCAGAGCTAAAGACCTTCTTAGGGCCAATCCAACCCGTCTTAACCCCCGACTGCCGATGACCAAAGCTTAGTATGCTGCTCAGTATGCCAGACCACACAAATCCATATTCAAATATTCATGTTGTTTGGCTCGCCCTCACTTGGTTTTATCCCCCGTCCCGCTCTCTCCTTTCTCTCTGTCTCTGTTACACTCTGGCAAATTAGAAACTATGCAAAACGATGCCAATGGCTGAATTTTAATTAGCAACCTAAGCCAAAAGGCACCGAAGGGGTAAGCGGGGCCTTCAGATGTTTTACGGGGATTGGGGATCGGCACATGCCGAATCAGGAGCGGACTCAAGTGCGTTGGGGCAGAACTAAAGAAGGGGGTTAAGCCTGGGGATATCCTGGAAAGGTTTCATAAAAAAGATACGAAGGGAAGGGAACATAAACATATTATATAATAAGCATCTTAGGAAAAACTTCTATAGGGCTTAGGATTCATATGATTATGATAGTTTACAGGCAGCCCACCCTTTAAGAACTTAGTTAATAATTGGTGATTGAAAAGATATACTTTAGATACAAACCAACTAAGAACAGGACCTTCAAAAGTATATCATATGGGAAAATAATGTTTGTTTTATTATGTCGTAAATTTAAAATAATCAAATAACTAAATAAAAGATTGATCACCTAAGATATAAACCAACCATGTTTCAAGCATAAAGCCCAAATTCAGAACCATTTTGTCATAAATAGAGCGCTTATTTGCACCACTAAGATTACGTAAATAAAGCATAAATTTGGCTTTAATTGGGGGATGTATTAATCACCCTGCAGGAAAGCAGTGAAAATGGTGCCATATCGTAAATATAAAGGCTAAAATACAAGGCTTTAATTCATGACTGAAATACCATAAAATACTGGCCAGCTCTATATTAAATTTACCCCGACATCCATGATTGCGGACGGGCATTTCACTCGCAGGTCACTAAATAAAACTCACACGACACCCCCGCACACACACACCCACACAAAGAAAGTGCCAGCCCTGTGTGTCCTATGCATACGCATAAATAATAATGGGCATGGAGCACGGAAAACACGGGGGTTACGACGGGGTTACGAAAGGCGACTGGTTGCTGGGTACTGGGCTCTGGGCTCTGGGCTCTGGGTTCCGGGAACTCGTTATGGCTGCCAGTGGGCCGCGCTCAACGCTTGATATATTATGCTGCTGGTTTGCCGGAGCTCTTTGTTTTGCGGGGGCATAAAATAATTACGCGGCCTACCGCAAAATTCATTTTGCCAGCGTTGGAAGAAAAAATATGAAAAAAGAAACCACTGCAAAGTTAAGTTTGTTAAAGGGATATAAGTGCATTTTAAAGAGACGGGGACCTAAAGGAATTTCCACTTCGATTTATCGATTGCCACGGGCGCACAGGAATTCAATTTGAAATGGCATATCCGAAAACAAATGACTGCCTAATGAGTTGCCCACTTAGCATAATAATTGAATGGAAGCTGCCTTAATATGCAAAGTGTTGCCTACTTTTGCGGGCCAGTTTGCCCGGAATGCCATTTGTTGGGGGGGGGGCGTTTTTGAAGGGGGCTCAACCGGAAGGGGGGGTTGAGGGAAAGGAGGCGGGGCAGGTGGACCGCCCGCTAGTCAGCTGCTCGGAAAGTGCAGCCCATGCCATGCGCAGGCCTTCAGTTGCAGGAAAGGCCGTTTCAACCCGCCGCGGCCAGTGCAGGGTTAAGCTTGCAGCGAGTAGCTGTAAAACGAGTTCGCCCACTCCCTCCCCCTCCCCACTTCATCCCACTCCCTTGCCCTTTATCAAGCAATCAATATTGCCGCCAGCTTTTGAGCGTAAATGAACGTAAAAGCTCTCGCCTGACTTGCAAAGCTTTTCGGGTGGCACAGACCACATGACTGGACTCGTGAGCGGAAATGGGGAAAAGTGCTCAATCGGGACGAGAGCCGAATCCCAAAAGCTGAGAGGATGAGTGGTTTGGCTTAGTGCCGAAAGCCGACCGACTGAGAGCTAAGTACTTAAAGCTCAGGGCATCATGAGTTATAT